CAGTATGAAGCTCATGGATTGAAAAGGTTTTCATTGTAGTCTTCCCATTATCTGAATTGAAATTAATAGATTTCTTTTCCTGCTGTCTTTGATATTTCTGGAATTCAGGTACATAGCTGGATGAGGAAGAATGTTTGGCCAAAGTTTCTCCAAGTTTATTTGCTATGTCAGATGTATCAGTTAATAATTCATCTCCGTCTTTGAGATGCTTAATGCTGGATTTAGAGCCCTTACCTTTTATTTTCTGGATCATGTTCCACACCTTTGATATCGGTGTGCGCGAATTGATTTTGAGACATAGTTTCGCCAAGATTGGCGTTTATTTTGCTTAAAAGTACGTCGTGCCTTAGCGTTTAAAATTCTAAATTTGTCTAAATTGTGGACCATAGGATGGCGACGGAAATAATGCTCAGCTTTCTTCCGTGCCTTCCGTGCCTGTTTGCATTCGTCGTTAAACCATGGTTTTCGTACGTGTGGAATTGCAGAGGATTTGGGTATACACTCATCAGCTATTTTCTTGAGTTCATCAGAAAAATCCTTTATGGCATCAGGAACATCTATAAAAAGTTCAGTTTTAAGTCTGTTACAACACAGAGATTGATATAAATGCCAGTTAGCTTTTTGAAAATTCCATCTTGAGGTTGGGGCAAGATCAGATGGGCTCACAGGCTGCAATATTGTAGGAAAATGGTCACTACCACACAGGTCATTGTGGGCTGACCATTCAAATTCATTCAGAAGGTTTGAGTCTGTAATTGATAAATCAAGGGCTGAATAAGTTCCTGTGCCAGGATGTAAATATGTTTTGACACCGTCATTATAAATGCATAAATCATTATCTGAACAGAACTCCTCTAATAATTTACCTTTAGCATTTGTGGTTGTACCACCCCAGAGTGGGTTATGGCCATTAAAGTCCCCCATAATAATGCAGGGTTTTGGTAGTTGGTCAAATAGAGATTGAAGGTCAGTCTTCTGCAAGGTTGAAGACGGAGAAATATACAAAGAGCATAAGGTAAATGCAATGTGTAAAGTGAGTCGCACTGCAACCGCCTGAAGACTAGATGTAAGAGCAACAGGGCTATGAATAACATTCTGTTTGACTAAGATAGAAGAACCTCCAGTGGCCCTATCGCCAGGAGGAGAAAAATAATGATATGAGCTGTAATGACGCAAGTTAATTTCGTCTGTCGGCTTTAAATGTGTTTCCTGCAGACATAAAGCTGAAGGTTGAAGATCTTGTATGAGTAAGTGTATTTCATTGAAGTTGTTCTTCAATCCTCTGCAATTCCACTGAACGATATGAGAGAATTGAGTCATGGTGGCTCAATTGGGGATCTCTCTCTAGAATGGGAGGAAGAATTTGTCCTCCGCTTTTCCTGTGAGGACAGAGTAACCTCCATATCGAGAGGACCAAATGGATTTTCCAGAGGGAGCTCTGAAGGTAAAGGAATAGTATTTGTTGGTTTCTTATTCAATTTCTTACCTTTCTTTTTTGACAAAGGAGCGGTGTCTGGTTGTTTATGAGAAGCTGGTGCTGGTGTCTCAGAATGATTTTTTTGTAAAGTACCAGGTAGTGACTGAGCTTGCAGGTAAGCATCAGTCTGAGTAGATGTTCCAGTATCCTCAGAGATTTTATAGATAATAGTTTGATTTTCTGATACCCACGAGATGGCCGTCTGGCACTCATGGTCAACCTTCAGACAGGAAGTAGATGCTACAGCAGCGTACGTTTTCTGTGGAGAGGTGTTTGGTAACAATTTCTTTGCTTCAGCAAAAGAAATATTTTTGGTGTGTTTTATTTTCAGAATCTGTGCTTGTCTTTCAAAGGTTGGACATGATCTTGAAGAGGACATGTGATCACCATGACAATTTGCACACTTGATGTCACTTGTACAGTCAGCATTGTCATGTTTGCCACTACAGCGAGAACATATTTGAGAATTATTACATGCAGTAGCACCGTGTCCAAACTGCTGACACTTAAAACACCGAAGAGGATTCGGGATGTAGACTTCCACCTCAATGTTGAAATATCCAGCTTTAATTGTTTTTGGTAGCGATGAAAGACAAAATGTGAAAAGATACGTATTGGTTTTGATAAACTTATCACCATCTTTTCGTGTGAATCTTTTCACTGACGTGACACCTTGAGACTGAAGTTCCGCTGCAATATCTACTTCTGTCATATCAGTAAGACATTTTGCCCTATCGCGGACAATGCCTCTACAAGAATTCAGTGTTCTGTGGGGCGAAACCTCAATCCTAGTGTTTGCAAACTGTCCTGCTTTGAGCAAATTGACAGATTGTTGCTTCTTGGCACACTCCACCCGCAAGGAACCTGTTCTGAGGCGAGTAACAGTTTTCACATCACCACATATTCCAGCAATAGCTTTAGATACAGCAAAAGGGTTAAGTTGCAGTGGTTGTCCATCCGCTCCCTGTACAACCAGGAAAAGGGGCCAAGAATCCAAATTAGTTGTCCCTGATTCATCATCAGAAGACGAGACAAAGTCTAAATCGATATGTTTTCTCTTTGATTTGGAACGAGAACCAGAGGGTTGTTGGGTAGCCATAATGAAGAATGTAAATTCAACATCCCTGCTCCTCACCCACCATGGAGTGTCAACAAGGACGGTGTCGAAGTGGAAACCGACTACGAAACACCAGGGTTACAGGGATGTTATACTCAAGCAATACAGACACAGGAAGCTAATATTGTCAAACAGAATAAAAGTCAGGCTGGTTCCGCCCATGACAGTTGTCTGAAGACAATTAGAACCCGGAGGTCAGTAAAGCCAAATTGGCCCATGAGCCACCGCCTTCTGGCATAGGACTCAAAGCAATAGAATAACATGAATAATTGGAATTTAGAATAGCCAAGACCAAGGTAATATATAAAAGATGTGCAATAATATTCACTATGCACAGGGCCTGGTGTGACCAGCCGATTGATTGAACCGGGCCCATTCAACCACCCGTCTAGGTGAAGTAAGGGGCGAAGTGGTGTGTTGGGCAACAGGAACACCTGGTCCTGGTTCCAGTGCCCTCAACCACCAGCCTCCCGTCCTCCACCGACACAGGGGCGCAACCCACGGCAAACAGGTTGGTGGACCAAATATACCCCCGGGTCCACAACGGGGGGGTTGAAGGGCGCTTAGCGTGACCCAGCACCCACCACGAGGAGGTGGCCCTTCATGGGTGCCAAGAGGATTCGTAGATATTCAAACTAGATGTTACCCCAAAATTATTAATAATAACATCGACCTAGCTGTACGTCTCAAACCCGCCTCCCCCTCAGTGATATTGCTGGAATTGTGCTAAAAGCGGCGTAAAACTAAACACACTCACTCACTCAAACCCGCCGCAGCCGTGATCGTGCTGGAACAGTGCAAAAAGCGGCGTAAAACTAAACACACTCAAACCCATCAGTTTCTGGTTGGACTTTCTCAATTCACCAACCTATGATTCGTGAACGCGTCGTTTAGGAAAGTGTACACTGTACACTGAACACTGTACACTGTGTCAGTGCATTGAACGAGAAGAGAGTGACAACCTGCACATGACTAGTCGCTAGAACAATTTACCAATCTACATGAATTATGAGATGAAGTGAGTGAGTTAAAATTTAAAGTCACATCCACATAGTGACTTGAGATGATAGAATAACCCTAATTAATTTACATGCTATTCTGTATGCATCTTCCTCAAATGAAACAAATAGGCGTATTCTCACGACGTCAAACGCATTGTACCCCAAGTTCCATAAATAAATGACCACAAATGTGTATACATTTTTACCTGTATGCGTTGCCATGGTAATATGAGGTTGAACACTTTGTGGCCTTTCTTACTGAGAATTGAATTGTTTGTTGATATCAGCCTGCAAAACTACTGACGGTGAACACTGATGTGACGTGCAATGTCTCTAGACGTCGAATGACAACTGACACGGGTAACGCGCAGCATGACGATATTCTTTGGTGTTGCTCAAACTTGCCAATCACTACCTAAAAGCAGAACGGATGGATAAAGGCAATATTCCTGCTCACAAAAGAGCATTATAATTGCAAGCCACAATGTATAACAATCTAATAACATTTGAAATTCCATACATCCACTTCACCTATGCCTTTTTGTTTGGAGCGGGTGTATAGTCATACCTTCTACCTCGTCGCCCGTCATGTGTTCATATGATATGCCAACTGTACATGTAGTTGTATCACATACTGAACTAAATAATACAAGGCGGTGGGGTAGCCTAGTGGTGAAGCGTTCCCTCGGCACACCGAAGACCCGGGTTCAATTCCTCACATGTGTACAATGTGAAGCCCATATCTGGTGTCCCCTTCCGTGATATTGCTGGAATATTGCTACAAGCGGCGTAAAACTAAGCTCACTCTCATAATTCATCCTTTTAAACAAAATGACATGTACACTTTGCAGTTTTAACACGTTTTTTCTTCAAATTAAACTGTAACATTTAGGACAGCAAGGGCAATTACACCATGTATTTGAATAATAAAAGAATTATTCATTTTTACGAGCACCAGATTTATGTTTTACTGAAGGAGTCACTATCCAAACAGTCGAGAACTCACTATCGCTACTACAGGAAGATGTATGACAAAATGTACACACATACATGCACTGCAGAAAAGTTACCCCCAAAGGTTGAAAACACATCTGTTACACCGATGGGGACTGAAAGTTTACTGGCGTTATTTGAAACAATCATTAATTCATTGCACCGGATGTACGCAGAACCGTCATATCAAAATGATAAATGAAATGATGCATTCAGTCATTCGATTTGAACATCATTATGATCAGGCATATATCTGATGATGGCTGTGTAACACAGTCTGACTGATAATTTGTAAATGTAACAATGACTTGAATCGTTTAATGATATCAACTACATATATCATTATCAACAACCAGATGTTATATATGTAATAATGTACTTGTCATGCAAACTCATGTTTTATAGGTGTAACATCTGTGAGAACAGTCATGCTATTGCTAAACGGCACAACAGCTGAATTACTGAAGACGTGGCATTGAAGGGGGGGATACGTTTGGATTGAACACACGTCTCATTGAAGACCTTGTTGCAGCCTGTGAAACTTGCCATTTGTGAGTACATATAGTTCCTTGTTCCTAGCTTTCATGTTTGAAGGGCAATGCTTAACCCAATTGTAATGGTGACAAGAGATTGAAAACATATGCTAGTGAATGATAAAACAAGAGTAACCGTTAAATGAGTGAATGAGTGAGTGAGTTTAGTTTTACGTCGCTTTTAGCAATATTCTTACAATATCACGGCGGGGGACCCAAGAACTTTACACATTGTACCGATTTGTGTATGGTCAATCAAGTACATTTTTGTATCACTGTATAGGATGTGACAAGCCTCATGCAAACGCCTTGAGGGGAACTAGATTTGAACCCACACAATCATAGGTGTCTGGGACGCAGCACTTAAAATGACTTTGTCGACTACTATGTCACCCAATACAGATCGATGAAGAAGTATGAGTGAGTGAGTGAGAATGGTTTTACGCCGCTTTTAGCAATATTACGGCGGGGGACACCAGAAATGGGCTTCACACATTGTACCCATGGGAGGAATCGAACCCGGGTCTTTGACGTGGCGAGCGAACGTTTTAACAACAAGGCCAACCCACTGCCCTTAACCTTTAATGAAGCAGAGTCGGTGTACATCAAACTTTTACACCCAATGGGTTGCATTCAAATGAAAAGACTTTCTATTTATTATATTATTTTGTTTTTACAAAATTACGTAACACTTTTCCATCTCTTTCATTATTAATTTCCCATAACATACCACTTCAAATTGGTATGGACGTTAGATGTTACCTTCAGAGTGTACCTTAACCTTACAGCTTCTTCTTTTGTCGTTTAATATAACATGGAGCAATAATCCAGTTGTTATAGAGTGTGGTGGTGATGGAATTGGGTTTTACGTCGTGCTTGAGAATATTTCGCTCATTTGACGACGTGCATGCGTGTGTATGTGTATGTGCGGCTGCTTGTACTAGCCCAGACTGAAGGTGGTTTTATAGTGCTAGCCCACTGAGATACCATACCGCAGTGAAGCATGAATACCCCACTCAGACACATTATACTGACTCCAACCAGTCCTTGTTGTACCCATTAGTGTCGAGCGCCAGGCAGGGACCAACAAGTACCATATTTTAACGTCTTTTGGTATGACGCGGTCGGGGATCGAACCCGCGACCTTCCGCACTCCGGGCGGACGCTCTAACCACTACACCACGGAGGCGGTCTATAGAGTGTAAGAGAAACAAGTAGTTGATATTATACGTAATGTGCATATGTTTATGATTCAGAAGCAACTCACCCAGTATGACAATGAAATCAAATTATGGTCCCCTGAACAACGAGTTGCCGATTATTGATTCTAACCAGGAATTAAAACCCTCATATCACCTGATGAACATAGCATATTATTTAATATTGTGGCGCAATTGATTCTTGGTCAAAAACAAATATAATCTTGCTTTAATCTTTCTGAGTTACACCAGATGCAACAATCAAAGGGACAAACACCCCTCCGTATCTTCAGAAACAAAAACAGCGTCGGCTCCATGATTCCAGTTACATCACAAACAGGCGAAATGTCCCTCTCATCTCCACCCAAAACTCTCTGAAAACCTACCCTCTGTTGCAAACTTGATCAAACAATCTAGCATAACGCTATCCGAAATCGCGGCAGAAAGGGTCTGACTGCACCTCAACCCAATATAGGTTTTATCTGGGTGCAAAGGGCAATTAAACTGATGCACATTTGTACATGAAATGCCGTCTTATTACTTTAGGCTTCGTTCAATAGCTACCAGGGGCGTAGCTATCATTATATAAAAAACCGGGCTTACACAAGCCGTATCTAAATATAAAGCTTTCCAACCTATTGGCTTGCTACGCGCCTGCACACATACTCCATATCAAAGATCGTACAGATACAGGGCGGTGGGGTAGCTTAGTGGTTAAAGCGTCAGCTCGTCACGCCGAAGACCCGGGTTCGATTCCCCACATGGGTACATTATCTGAAGCCCATTTCTGGTGTCCCGTGATATTGCTGGAATATTGCAAAGAGCGGCGTAAAACCATACTCACTCACTCATTCGTACAGGTGAGGTGAGGTGAAATTGGGTTTAACGTCGTGCTTGAGAATATTTCGCTCATATGACGACGTGCGTGTGTATGTGTATGTGCGGCTGCTTGTACTAGCCCAGACTGAAGCTGTTTTTATAGTGCTAGCCCACTGAGATACCATGCCGCAGTGAAGCATGAATACCCCACTCAGACACATTATACTGACTCCGAGCCGACCAGTCCTTGTTGAACCCATTAATGCCGAGCGCCGGACAGGGACCAACAAGTACCATATTTTAACGTCTTTTGGTATGACGCGGTCTGGGATGGAACCCGCGACCTTCCGCTCTCTGGGATGGAACCCGCGACCTTCCGCTCTCCAGGCGGACGCTCTAACCACCACACCACGGAGGCGGTCCTCATTCGTACAGATACATGCCTACATGAGTAAATGTAATATGGCTGCCACCTTAGCCATATTTAAAAAGAGACGTGCGTGGACCTGACTATTCAGCTGAAAAGGACAAATTGGCCATCAAAGACAAAGGGATAAAGGATTCGGCTAACCCACTCGTCTACGATGCGGCAAATTGACTTCTTGTCTTTTGTGTCAATCAATCGCATTAAGTTACTTATGCATGTGTTACGTAGCATATGTTTGGGGCGGTGGTGAAGGCCAGTGGTTAAAGCGTTCGCTCGTCATGCCCAAGACCCGGGTTTCATGCTCCACATGGGTAAAATGTGTTAAGCCCATTTCTAGTGTCCACCGCCGTGATATTGCTTGAGTAGTGCCACAGCGGCGTAAAACCAAATTCACTTACTAGTACATTTTTACTCCCACTCATTCACATGACCAAACTCGTTTGGGGCGATAGGGGAATTGCTCAATGAGTCTGAGTGTGGTAATATCCATACTTAATTTTAGACAAAAGGTGCAGCTTCTAAGCCTAATGTATTGTTAACAGGATGATATCATTTACTTTTCAGTAGTATGGCGAGGTAGACCATAATAACAGTTTACTCAATGTAAATGAAGATGTCCTTAGACATTAGCATTGCAGTATGGTTTTGTCTGTGTATGCACAGATAGGCGTCGTTCTGAGGCTGTGTTGTAACTTTTAAAAAGCTTGTTGACAGTAACTGTTGCTAGACCATTCGAAACTACAACTGTTTAGATCATATTTTGCAGACGATGCTCTCGGGCAAAGTATCACTTTGTCATGGTGACGTGACGTCAAATTTGCATTTGACGTCACGTTTCTTCTATGACTTTGCCTTTGAACTAGATGCAGCGACGCCGGGTAGACAGCCTATGTTTGAAAGTTTATTCTCCGAAAATTTGACGACTTCGTTAATAAAGAGAACATTATATTCGGGCCCATATCATACTATGATTGCGACGCTCGTGCCTAAATATGGGTATCTCCCTTGCACTCGCTCGGGAAATACCAACATTTAGGCACGAGTGTCGTAAATATAGTAAGACATGGGCACTCATATAATATCCTCTATATCCCGTCACACCAGCGACACTAATCAAAAACACATGTGCAAAGCCACACATACAAAGGCTCATCCGGTACAAATATACTAGGCACATAAAGAAACTGTGCATACAAAAATTTAAAATCTACACTTATCAAACCTGTGTAGACACATAAGGATTTAAACTCAGAGATCAGTGACATGTATCCAACATGCATGCACGTGCCACGTTCCGTGACGTCAGCCGGTTCGTCCTTGAGACGTGCAATACGTTGTTGCACGTGCATTCCGGGAAAGAGAAACAGAGCAAATGAATGCCACACAATACTGTCACTTTGGAAAGCCCAACCTCTGCCCTTGCGATTAAACGGCTATTGAAACGCATAGCATGCCAAGGCTCACGTCTGCACAACGTCATGAGGCCATTGGGATGGTCCGTGGGGGAATGTCTCAACGACAAGGGGCTGCACTTTTCCACTGCCACCGGAACACCATTTCTGCACTGGTGAGACGCTACCAGAACACAAATGACGTCATCGATCGGCCACGTTCATGACGCCCACGTGTAACAACGCCAAGACAGGACAGATGGATAAGGGTGACTCATCTTCGCCACAGGTTTCAGACTGCAGTGATGACTGCCCGAACCATCCCAGGACTTCGCCGTACCCACCCCAACACAACGTTTACGTCATCACGGGATCAGACCACGACGTCCCGCCATACGGCCTATCCTGACACAACGTCATCGACAAGCTCGCCGAATGTGGTGCCGAAATCATGTCCGCAGACCCTTGTTTTGGTGGAGAAATGTTGTTTTTACAGATGAGTCCAGGTTTAACATTTCCCATAGTGATGGACGTCAACGTGCCTATAGACGCGTGGGAGAACGTTATGCACAGGCCTGTGTCTTGGAGAGGAATCGCTTTGGTGGTGGTTCCGTGATGATTTGGGGTGGAATAACAGCACGCCAAAGAACTCCTTTGGTGATTGTTCAGGGCAACTTAACTGGTGTGGGCTACAGGGATCAGATTCTTCGACCTGTGGCAATTCCTTTTCTGCAACGTCATGGCCCTGGGTTAACATTCCAACAGGACAATGCCCGCCTTCATACGGCAAGGGTTGCTATGGATTTCTTGCAACACCACAACGTTGACTTACTGCCTTGGCCTGCAAATTCACCGGATCTCTCCCCGATAGAGCATGTTTGGGACGAGATGGATCGACGTCTACACCGTCTTCCTCATCCGCCAGATAACGTCCTTGACCTTGCAACAGAACTTGAGAGAATCTGGCGTGACATCCCACAAGCCTTCCTTGCACGTTTGATAGACTCTATGCGTCGTCGATGCACTGCTGTTCTCAATGCCGATGGGGGACATACTGAGCTTGTGACATGGTCGTTTGACCCCTGTCCCGCTTGTGTCCCGCTTGTGTGACGTCATTGTGATTGACTTTTAAATTGAAATTCTCCCGACTTGTTATGGTTTCATGATCCCTCCATTAAAGTTTATATGTACCTTTGACATTGTTATCGTACTTATCAACTGCGATAATATTTATACAATGCATAGTTTCTTTATGTGGCTAGTATACATCCGAACAGATAATACAAGTCTAAATTGAGACATCTGACACTGCAACAATCATAGGATTCTGTGGTCCAACAGCAATGCTTTTAAGGCTGAAATATATCGCTCAATCACTCACTCATCTTTCTTTGAGATAGCGAGAACTGCGGGAATGGGTCCAGTATAGTACACACTTACCGAAATTCGAACCCTGGAGAGATAGTGGATATTTTTTGTGTTTGTTACATAATACAATTAAGAGAGAAATTAAGCAGTCTCATTGGTTGAACGACTTGAATGAGACATGCCAATTCGTCTGAACCTTGTCACATTTAACTCTTTCTGATCTCAACTGTGAGTGAAGGTTTGTACTAATTCCAAATTATGAGAAAGCACGTTATGATATTCATACCACTGGGTCGTCTGTGCCCTCCGACAAGACCTGCAGTCTGTTGTAAACATGCGACAGTAAAATACAATGCACTGTTCAGCCATCTTTCAGATTCCAAGATGAAGTTTGAAGACATCGTGAAGCTCCTTGGTGACTTTGGCCCCTACCAGAAGAGGCTGTACTTCCTGTTGTGTATCCCTACCATATCAATCGGGATTCAGACAATAATGACAGTCTTTACACTTGGTGTGCCAAATCACAGGTATAAATAAGTAGTTGTTACTGGAGTGTCCGTCTTGTTACCTCTGAGATAAGGAAATATATCTCCAGGACTTTCACCAAAGATCACTCATATTCATCATTAACAAATTCGTTTAGTTCCTTGTCCTTTGAATTGTTTCATGAAGAGAATTAATTCAAGGTCTTTTTGTCTACATTCATTACAATAATGTTACAAAACATTTCCATTGAGCACCGACTGTTTAAAATGCGCTAGGTTCAAGATCGTATTGAAAAGCTTATACTGAGGCTTCGATTTATAGTTTAAGTGACGTGGTGTCAAAACCAAATTTGAAACACTGTTTTGAAACACTGTACATTTCATTTGATGTCAAGGTGTTCTCTTCCTGATTGGGATAATGACACATACGCCATACAAGGGAACAGCCACGCACGGGCCGTCAATGCAGCCTTTACATCGCCCATTGAATGGACACAACACGACTCTTCCTGTTTCATTCACGACCAGAAGAATGGGACGGGGGAGGGCTTAACACTGTATACTAATACTACTCGTAAATGTGACAGCTGGGTCTACGACATGGAGCAGTTCGGTTCAACTATTGTTACGAAGGTTGGACATTTCTCCCTCCTTTTTTCTATCGTAAAAGCAGTAAAATAAATATACGAGTCAAATACAGCATGCAATGATAAGTATGAGTGAGTTACAATTTAACGTCACATCGGCAATATTTCAGTCACATCTTGATGAGAATTTGAATTTTAAGGCTAGATACACTAGGAATAAGAAGCCTGTCGTCCATGGACAGCAGAATAACTAGATTATCACAGTTTTAAGTTAAAACTAGTTGATAGCTTTTAAAAGTATAGATAATAAACAACACATTGTAAGAATGGGCTATAGATCGCCAGCAACTGAAGGTAAATCACCATGGTAAGGTACATAGGAGAATGAAATATTGATAGCGTTTTGGTCACACGGTTAAGGAATTTGTTTGTTGTTTACCATCACCGACAGTAATATTCCAGCTACATGTCTGCGATCTGTAAATACTCCAATCTGGATCAAACAATCCAGTGAATAACATCATGCGCATCGAACTACGCAATCAGTATACCATGTCGGCCATTATCCATGTCATCGAGTCCAACCACCCAATCTCGTTAGTCTAACGACAGGCATGGGCTGCTGGCGACTACTGTAACCCGGATCATTACGGGTAGTTTTGGAAACAGTGCTACTGTATCAAACGTGTACATTATAACTTATAAACCATGCAAAAATGACGAACATCTTTTCATGGCACTTTCTTCATTATATTCAGATGATTTCTCTAGAGTTCCAGACCGCCTCCGTGGTGTAGTGGTTAGAGCGTCCGCCCGGAGAGCGGAAGGTCGCAGGTTCGATCCCCGACCGCGTCATACCAAAAGACGTTAAAATATGGTACTTGTTGGTCCCTGCCTGGCGCTCGGCATTAATGGGTACAACAAGGACTGGTCGGAATCAGTATAATGTGTCTGAGTGGGGTATTCATACTTCACTGCGGCATGGTATCTCAGTGAGTTAGCACTATAAAACCAGCTTAAGTATGGGCTAGTACAAGAAGCCGCACATACACACGCATGCACGTCGTCATATGAGCGAAATATTCTCAAGCACGACGTTAAACCCAATTTCACCTCACCTCTATAGTTCCAGCCCGAAAATGAAAAATATTTGACATTTGGGCTTGCGATAGTGTAATTAGGCGTTCCATTTAGTGTTCATTGCATGGTGCTGTTGACCCAGTATTGTTCGTTCAGTTTGGATGGGTATGCGACGTGAAGATGGCGAAGTCTCATGCTCAGATGCTGTTTATGCTGGGTTTCCTACTGGGCAGTGTGGTGTTGGTTGCGCCATCAGATTTGTAAGTTCCTACAAATATCGCATATATTTTATAGATCACGGTTGTGATTGACTCGTTTATTTACTGTTAAATGTTGTAAAAACGGATTCACAAATTTACAATGAGTGGAATGGAAGTACAACTGTGAAAATGCGGGGTTCAACGCATTTACGTGGAGTGCAAATATATTTTATAGATCACGGTTGTGTATTTAGTGTTAAACGTTGTGAAAACCGTATCCACAAATTTACGATCAATGGAATGGCAGTATAACAGTGATAATCGGGATTAAAGGCATTTACGTCGTGTGCAAAGTTTAGAGATTTAAACAAAAATGTATATTTCAAAGAGAAACAACGTTCATAATGAAAAGGTATGCTACAATTGAACGTATGAACGCAGAATCTCAGAGCTACGCCGATCACTCTCCAATACTGTCCGTTTATGTGCAGCACTGGAAGGAAGAAGATGTTCATGGTATCAGTCACCCTGCATGTTGTATCCACCATCTCGGCAGCCTTTGTGTCCAACTTCACGTCACTAGGTCTCATCTACTGCATGATTGGTATGTCGTGCATTGGCGTCTGGAGCAACAGCTTTGTCGTAGGTAGGATCAACTTTCTTTCTTATCCTGACAAAGAATATGGTTACCTGATTGTTACAGAAAAACTTAACAAATATGGTTTCAAGTTGCTGTCTTACCTTTGTATCAACATATTGAAATGGATGTGGTAAGAGGCATTGCTTGAAACAACTCTTTATGTTGCCGAACCATAAAGATACATCTGTTTCAAAACATTATTGTAATTATGTGCAAACGTAAATTCAACACCAAATTAAACCATACCGGACAGGGGACTGTTTTCCATGTGTATACATGTACGAAAGTAGTGTATATGATTTGAATTAGATCGCTATTTATAAGCAGGTGTCAAGAATATTAATCTTCAGTTAGACAGTGAATGTTACACAACAATTACCTTGTCATGGTGTTGTGATGTAGCTTAAATCATAGCAATAAAATGTGTACTACTACTTCTATTTGGGTAATTGAGTTATCAGTATAAATTCATTTAGCAACAACAAGCAAAGAGATCAAGCCCATGCGGAAGTATATATTTGAGACGGTTCATGTGATATTTACCAAGGACCATTTACGCTGAACATGATAAAAATGTTATTGTGAACTCTAGTTGTTTCTCAAAATAACACAATCAGTAAATATCGCACGCTTTCATATAACAGACGAAGACTATGGGCAGATACAAAACCCCACATGCATGGTATCTGAGTGTAAACTGATCCAAACGTGAAGAAACACGTTCCTTCTCTTAAACCTATGTATGGCCTTCATCGGTGTCACAATGACAGAGGGTTATAGCAATATGTACCACTAGTCCAGTAGAAATTGTATGAAACCCGGACATTTAGTATAACAAGCAAATTTTATGACTAAATGAACCCAAATAGGGTACTTGTTCACCATGGAAAACACAAGCAAAATCAACCTTGGGGAAATTGTCATTTAGAGGCAAAATCCTAAAAAAAAGATGAGAAAATACATATATAATGTCTTAAAATTGTATTCAATCACATCTTGGTTTTAGCACAATCTCTGTGTCACTTGGGTAATTAAAACTGTAAGGATTTTGAATCAATTATTGAATTGATTAATGTCAGTCTTTGGCCAATTGCTTATAACTACATATTTGAAACTCATCTGTAATTTACATAGTACATGATGTAAATTTTAATAACATCAGATACATCAGCAAAAACATTTAATCTTGTGCTTACCAATAGTGTAACAAGATGATTTGACTTTCCATGGAGTTACTCTATGTCTCATCATCAGAATCCAGGCATACTGCTGGAGGAGGATTCAAACAGTTCCCAGAACATTTACAGTGGATGCTGCATAGCATTCGTCTCTTCACACAGCTGCACGAGGTGCAGGATACCCTCTCTTGTTTACTGCAGGAACACCGGACTTCACGCAGGAGGTCGTCAAGAGCAGCTGGTTTATCTGTTATCGTTGGCACTACAACATCATCGACTGATTTTAATCTAAACCTATCCCTATCCAATACAGTCTGTAGTTGTTTCCATGTAGCTACTTGATAGTAGACCCTCAAACAGTGAAAGTAGCATGCTCGGCTAGTTGGAGGCATCTTCACTAATGGGACATATTTTGACGAGATGATTTTGAGGTACCGCACTTCATCCAGAGGTCGGATTTCTCCTTGATATAAGAAGGACACATATGTCTCTCCAATTGCAGCAATAGTTCCTTTAGGTGTGGCTGTGTTTCCAAACACCTTTACTTCTCCTTGAAGTTCCTCCGACTGCTGTATAAGTTAGAAGTGTTTGACTTTGCCCATGCCAAAGAAAGCTGATGTCGTATCACAACCTGACATAGCATGGATGAATGGAAGACATTGGAAACCTTATGATTGTCGCCCTCTTGTGACAGAATATGTGAGTGTTTTTGTCTTCATAAATATATCCCGATGCATATCAGTACAGTGGTGGAGCAGTAGTACCAGAACATCTGTGTCATCTGAACACACACAAACAGGATGCTCTAGGGCCGTTGTCAGTGCTTGCTTAACAATCACAACATCTGCATCGCCTTCATCACCAGCATGCTGTACGCTGATATCGAAATCATTCAGGTGTTCTGCCATCAGGTAGACAAGTGCCTGCTTGTTGTGTCTGTTTGATAGGAAGCCACTTTTATCAGATGGAACTGGGGTTGTGTCTTCGACTTCGACATCAGCAACTGAAGATCTGTGGAGACAACGACGTTTCTGCTCGGGTTCTTTTGTGGTTATAACCTCATAGCTATCAAAAACTACATGAACTGAAGGACTGTTCTTCGTTTTTGCTGAAACTACATGACAGAATGATGAGCAATATATCTTGAGGCAATCCAACCTTTGGCCACTGCATTTGTTGCAAAAGGGCACATCCATCTATGACAAGTGCCAGGATCAGGGGCGATGATATTGGGATGAAGTTCTGAAATTTTCCTTGCAAGCTGCGACTTCTGGCATTACCGCATAGTACCATCATCATGAAATAGTACTGGACACACTGCAGCCAGCTCATATGAAAACACCGTTGGTTTTGGAGGTCCTGTCAAACACGAAAGCGATAACAAACGTTGGTACACTTCTGATGAGGATATATGGATATCACCATGACCAATTTTCAAGGCTTTTCTCGTCACAGCAAATGTCACAGTTTGGTCACATTTTTTCAGGACAACATCACCGAACTTCTGATGGGACATTTTCTCCAGTTGTTTTGCTCCAATCTCCAGTGCTGCGTCTACATTCACAGACTTGTCAGCAAACATTCCCGTGGCAATATTTCGAAGCTGGTGAGAATCTTTGGAGTAAAAGGGGTTGTGACTTCTCAGATAGTACTCAAAAGTGTGCATGTCTTGTAGGTCTTGTTTGATGCGGCCTATATTGACCTCCTTGTGCTGTTCTGACCAGGATCCACTTTGAGTGTTGGTCAAGATTCGTAAAGCTTCAGTGTACTGTGTCACAATGTGGGCAGACAACAGCCATTTTTTGCGAGCTGATTCCTGATGTGTAACATTGATGAGTCCTCCTTTAGTCTTGCCAGCTCTCATCAACATTGTTCAATCACCATGTCACTCCACGTCCCAGTCCAAAACAAGTTCTCATTTCTTCTTATTGTGAAGTTTCCGTTTTCCATCTGTACCTGCAAACAAGGACACAGCTTTTGACAATCCTGCAGATAGAGTCGACAGTACTTGGTGTAGCTGTTGTGCCCTGCTGCTGAGAACAAAGGCAACATTTGTGTGGAAGTTTTGAGATGGAGCTTCCAGTTCCCAGTCCGTTCTGCTCTGATGAAATTGCGCACTACTGTAACAAATTCCATGAACTGAATCCATGGTTTGCCAGTTCTTGACTCTTGAAGCTTGCACTTTTCTTGATCTACAAACTGAAAACAGTGTTGAATACCTGGATCATTCTTGACATCTTCATATGTCTTCTCATTTTCCAGAACACTAACATGCAATTTTGAAGTTCTTGAAGTCTTATATTGTTGAAAGACTCACTCCCCGTTTCATTTGTTATTCCTGGATTGAAGTCAATTTGGCTTGTTTACTCTTCTGGACTGAGAATGATCATGTGAAGGGCAGCATCTGTGAAAAGACATGCTCTCAGAGCTTTTCTGTAAGCCTTCCCTTCCATCATCTTCGGAATAGACTTGTTGGCATATACAGTTGCCCATACATCTTCAAGACCATTGTCCTGCATACACCCAGCTCCAAGAAAGGACATCAGCTGGTGGAATCCACCCAGGTGTAAAGACAACTGTTTGAAATCTTTAGGATTGTCAACCTTTATTTTATACGCCTTTGCAAAGAGAGCTTGGTCAAATGTAATTTGACCACAACCCTGGCCAGAGTTTCTTCTTTGGAGATCTACAAAAGTCATTGTACTATAAACCGCCTCCATTGTCTGTGGATTTAATGGGATGATAGGATTGTTCATGACTGAAGAGCAAACAACTGTACCATCTGTGACCTGAGACCTAAAACCCTGCCAACTTGGAGATGAGTTGCTCAACAAGCGGGACACTATCCACAGCATGTCCATACTTTGGAAGTGTGTCATAGGAAGATTGATTGGCTGCAGCTCCTCAAACACAACATTGGGCAGGTGACTTCTGACTGGTTGATGGTAGGGTTTTATGAATGTACCAAAGGTTCCTGATTTCACAATCTCAGCAGATGTTACTTTCTGTCTGGGGATGGAAATTGTTTTACTTTCTTTGGGTGTTTGACAAGTTATCATTCCCATTACATGTGAAGTATCTTGTCCTTTTAATGTATCTTCATGGTGATCAAAGTTGTCTGCGATCCATTGGCAAAATCCTGAAGCAGGCTCAGTTGATTGGTTGACGTTATCTTGATTGACAGCAGCCGATTTCTCGAAGTCAATGACTTGATCATAAGAGGCGCTAAACCCAAGGGAGGAAAGAACATTGAGAAGAACTCTTGACCGTGTAAGGTGGTGGATAAACAGGCCTACACAGAGCATCAGTGTTGAGATGTACGACTGTCCTGAAGCCGTCTGAAGTAGACTGACTGACTGAGTTTAGTTTTACGCCGCTTTTAGCAATATTCCAGCAATATCACGGCGGGGGACACCAGAAATGGGCTTAACACATTGTGCCCATGTGGGGAATCGAACCCGGGTCTTCGGTGTGACGAGCCAACGCTTTAACCACTAGGCTACCCCACCGCCCCGTCTGAAGTAGAACATGACATAGAGAAATGATAAGAAGTCTCTGTTTGGCAAGAGATGATGGACTCCTTGACTTCAGTAGAATTCTTTCAATGAGACTGAGGAGAAGCGGCGGTACCTGCTCTTCAAGTTTGTCCACATTGATGTCACTGGGTGAAGGGTATTCTTGGGTCGAAGATTGATCCTGAACTTGACTCCATTTCCTTATTTCATCTCTGAGAATGGAACCAGCTTTCTTTATAATCTTCTTATCTTTAGTTTCCTTCTGAACGTCAGTTTGAGAGAGTAAGTTCCATGAAGAATTGAAGATGCTGTACTGTTGAAAGTGATAACATTTGGTTTTCCATCTATCTCAGAAAATGTTATTTGATCTCCAAATGTATCAATCAGTCTCCTCTTTAGGTGTTTTATGGAATATGGTTCAGTTTCAGGAGATAGATAGGATGAAAGTTCCTTGTGCACATCTTGGATTGTGAACTGCTGATAGTTATGATTATCTTCCTCAAGCCATCTGCACAACTTGATAAAGGCTCTGTTGTTTCCCTGGTCAGAGTTACGTGAATTGGTCTTGCTTTGACTGTGTTTGATGTTCCTGGGGGATGTAAATACTTGAAGACACTGTCTATGGTATCTGGCCTCAACAGCTCGTATATCTCCTGCATACAAAATACGGGCTTTGACAGTTGATGCATCATCATCTTGTCTTTTACTACAAACATCTAAGAGAGTTTCTTGAAGAACAGATTTTTTGTCATTATTTATGATTTCAAATTTGTTAACATCATGACGGTGAGGATGTTTTTTGTAGATCGATGGAGTCAATCTTCTTTCCACAGATCAAGCAACAAGTGTCATAATCAAAAATATATTTTCTGAATCTCTTAGGATACGAATAGGAGTGATGGACCGAGCTGCCTTAACGTTTTTCTTTGCAGAGTATGATTTTCTTCAATTTTCATGAACGTGATGATTGTCTGACTGTGAAAGATATTCATGCAGGTCATCCTTTCTTTGTTCAGAAACACTCAGCAGAGAAAGAATTCCCTTGCTTGTAAGCGTCACTGTAGCATCAGGTTTCTTACAAATGATGCAGAAAGACATGCCTGAAACATTAAAAATTAATTCATTAATATTTCAAATGTTTTCAAAATCATTAAAATTTTGCTTATATGAATGATCATTTTACTAGTCAACAAGGAACAGTTGACTTTATTTGTTTGATATGGGAGGTAACTCTTATAATGTGTGTGAGAATTTAAGACATGTGCTTTAGGCAAAGCCCGGGAATTTTAGAAATATGGGCATACCAAAATGGTATGAGCTTAATTTCTATGTTTTTATGATTCATCTTTGTATTTCAGGAATGGTAAACTTGTAAATATTTTCATTAATTTATGTACATATTTTAAGTTTTATTGAAAAAAATTCCAATGACATTACAATTTTCACTCACTTAGTGAATTCGGTAATGTTTTTCTAATTTCATTTCTTAATTAATTCATAATTTCTATTAATTTTTGGAATTAATTAAACTTGGAATCCTACTATTTGGACAATGTTTTGCAGGTGTAACATATCTGCTTTTCATTGGTACTTAGTGAACTAATTCAATTTTTTTAAAAGACTAATACACCAAAATAAAATAAGCCTATCCAAATCTGTTTTCATCAATATACACATGGTAACCATGTATTGTGTAGTGAACAATAATATTTTCATTGATAATCTATATTTGAAATATGTTTTTGACTATCATTAACTACAAATTACTCAAAGATTTAATTATCAACAGACGCTTTCATATTATGTAATGAGTCGGAGGGAATTTAGCATCAGTAGGAGTGCATTGGTATGCAGGGGTTCCATATATTTTTATATAATTTTTTAAGGTAATATTTCATTCTAGATTTGATTGCATCTGTCTCCTAGAACATCTACTCCATCACCATATGACAAGAAAAACTAGTAGGAAAACCATAATATTACATGACCTTGAAGCCTAAAATTTCAAAATCAAATCTATCTATCTTGTTCAAATTTGCATTGATCAAACATGACTATTTTGAAGTTATTTCTCAATGCCTTATGTCTCAATGCATTTCAACAGTTGTCAAAGCTTATTTCCCCATGGAAACCTTCTTAAAACTCACAGTACTTACCTTGTATGTCAAATTTCACCGCTTCAAAACTTCTGTTGTCACAACAATGTCGGCCATTGTTTGCTGTTACTATGAATGGAGATAATATTAGTCATACAACTGATGTCATATGTAAGAAACCTCCGCACATCATTGAGGTACATTTTCAAGTGGTCATAACTTTTTCTACCCAAGGCTGATTTTGGTTGTTGTTTTTTCTCAGCATCACAGGGACCTATAAATCATTTTAAAACACAAATTTGCTTGTTATACTAAATGTCCGGGTCAACTTAATTTCATGTCGACTTCTACTGGTCTACACGCTGAAGATACACTTTCCTTTTAATTCTGCATCGCCAAAAAGTGACAAACTGTTTAACAGTTTCTTAACTGTTTCAAGGAATCATAGTTTATCAGTACTATGTACTTATGTGGTGATGAGTAGTAGATTCATTTTGATAAGTGCAGACTCAAATTCTTCATCTTAAGGTTCCAGCTTGCGACATTGGCTCTTGTTAATATATACTATATCCTGATGTCTCTGGCAAACATTCACTTTGTTACGGATGTTTTTGGTTTCAGGTGTGGAGCTTGTGGGCCCTTCAAATCGAGTTTGGACAGGAATCATAGTCGAAATGTTTTGGACATTCGGATCTGTAATTGTAACAGCGATTGCATACTTTGTCCGAAATTGGCAACATTTGCAGCTGATAGGCTCAGTGCCAACAGTTCTGTTTTTGACATATTATTGGTAAGTCTGTGGTGATACCGGCGGTCACTATGATTATCTTGTATATATATTTTCTGAGGAATTTGAAGACGACATTGTTTGTGTATAAAACATATCAATATCAAACATCGTGAACATTCGCTCCTCTTCAGTAGTTTACCAATCAGTTGTGATTCAAATGAAGCAAGGTATGTGCTGTAAGAAAAAATGAGATTCGTACTTTATGAGGATATAAACCATCTTGCGTAAAAATAATGTACTTATGACTTTAGTGATCGAGTGTGTTTCTTGAATTCCCACAGGTGATCACAATTGTTTTACCAACTTCAACACATCGTTCTAGGTTGATGCCGGAGTCTCCGCGTTGGTTGATCAGTAAGCAGAGGTATGAGGAAGCCGACATAATATTACGTCATGCTGCCAATGTCAACAAGACGACCCTGCCCTGTAATATGTTCAGCGGAGATAGGCTAGACCGGAAGAGGGAGGTGCCGCTATGGCGGATGTTCAAACGTCCGTCTTTGGTTATCCGAAGCCTTGTGTTGTTTTTCAGTTGGTAGGACTTTCGTACATCGGAATACTTCTTCACAGTTTACAGTTTTTTCGTGTTTCACCAGCGTTAGTAACGCACCAACAGTTCGACATTATACATGCTATAATCCTTCAAACCCACATTCCAGCGTTAGAGTCGTTCTCAGGCGTAGCCAAAACAACATTACTCACAGCATATCGCCATATGGTGCAAAGCTTCATTCTCCCTGGAGCATAAACGGGCTATATTTCGTCATTCTTGTCACTCACCCATCTACCTAGCCTCGATCCATACCCCCTGTTCAATGAATCAAAATATTGTTCATGTTCCAGGTTCGTTGCCAGTATTGGTTTCTATGGACTCGGTCTCAACGTAGCTAATCTGGGCGGGAGTGTCTATACTAATCTATTCATTGCGGCTTTGACTGAACTAGCTGGCCATGCTTCATGCCTCCTGCTCCTCAATCGTATTGGGAGGAAGGTTTTTCACTGCACTGTAATGATTATCGGCGGATTGTGCTGCACAGCTACAATCCTACCGGTGCTCTATGGAAACGGATGTAAGAAATCATCCATAAGCTGACAAAATTTTCAGAGACACAATATTCAGACAATGATCACCATCTCAAGGGTATTGGTATATATTACATCTTCGAATTGAAGCAAATTATTTAGGAAATACTAGACAGACGATCACGGAAAGTCAAACTATAATACAATTTGAACATTTGTGGTATGCCTTATTTTGAACAAAACTGAATAGTTGAGTCAAAAGTCATGGTCACTTTTTGGAAAGATAATTTCTACAATGATTTAAGAAGCATTTACTGGATATAAAAACGACAAACCATGGAACAGTTCATCCTTGGGACAGGGCAGTGATTCGTAAAGGGAAATATAATGATCATTTCTAAAATCTTTTGCCATTTACACTCAACATAAGATCTGCTACAAAACATCCTGTAATGAATATTTGAGGACAACTACACATGAATATTTGAGGATACCAAAGTACCCTCACCGACTTCCAAAAAGCATGGGTGTTTTTTTATTTTTGACCCATTGTCTTTGATTCCGCTTCATGTTTTCAATTACCACTTGAATTTGACCATTTAGACTTTAACAAAGGAAAACACTAGAACAAATATTCCCTTGACTGATGCAATGGTATTCAGAAACCACTAGTTTCTTACTCTACAAAGTATTCTTCTGTCTTCCAATACTTTAATCTTAAAATATGTGTGATGTTTACTCTTCAGCAAAAAATGTCAATGACTGCCAACACCTGAAGGGAAGATAACTTTCTTGAAAATCCAGCTGAACAATTCAGGGACCTGACGTTCTGTCTGTTCCCATGTTTCCTAGTATGGTTGTTACAGTCTCTAAATATAGTGACTATTAGTGTATAAATTGTTCTCGTCACGACATGGCTGAAGTATTGCGTAAGTAATGTTCACTTAAAACAAGTGTGTACGAGTGACATAACTGCAGTGAACATACTTTCGTGTTTTTGTTACGGCTTGGTTACCAAATGGAAAGGTAAGCGTAACCCAGGCAGCTGTTTGTACACAGCTCAATTCTGAAATCCCAGCCAATAATACGAATAATTACCACTTTACAATGAAATTTATACACATAATTTAGGTATATAATGTTAGAAAATACTACAATGGGTCTAGGTAATGTCAGCAGGAATACGTTTAAGGCCTTATAAGGTGTGTCAGTGTCCTCATGAATGTCCAGGTTTCACTGGGCCCTTGCTCCTCCCAGAATATTTATTCCCAGGCGTGTATTTGCTGGAACATTGTTTAAAACGGCGTACAACTACACTCAGCACTCACTACTCGAATATTATATAGACTGGTGTTGACAGTCATTTCAGTCACGTATCCAGTCAACACTGGTCATGTGGATACAACATATATATATATATCCCTCTTGTCGTTTTTATATACTGGACAAAATAAGTTAGGGACATTGGTATGTTTATGATTGATATTTTACCAGTGTGTCAATGAATGATCCCAAACTAATTTTGTCCAGTATATATACATACAGTTAGTCTCCTTGAATTTGTCACAACACCAAACGTCTGTAACAATCAAATTATTGTCGACAACCAAGTGAGAGAACTAAAACGACACATCGTGTTATCTGGTCACTGTACTTTTACGAGCGTTTCAGCCATATAACGTGTTAATAGTGTTAACTTGTCTATTGACATGTTTTAAAATTCTTCAGGATCTAGTTGCAGTAGAGGCACAAATGGCATGTGTATTTACAACGAAAATCATTTACAAGAGATGTATCTTCTCCCCAGCTCTTAACTGGCTGACCATTGCATTAGCTTTGACTGGTCAGGGTTTTGTAGTGGCCAGTTTCGACATCATCTGGCTTTATTCTTCGGAGCTTTTCCCGACAGTCATCAGAAGCTCAGCTCTCGCAGCGGCCAACATCTTCGCCAGGGTTGGAGGAACCATATCACCATACATTGCTAGCCTGGTTTGTTTTTAATTTCCTGGTCATACTATATACCATTGGGACACCCTGGTCTAGTATTTTTAGGCATAGATACATGAAAACTATTTTAAAATGAACCAGTTCCATTGAGAAAAATGTTCTTAGTTGAGATGCTGAAAATATACACTTTTCTAGCACGGGCCCTCATAATAATGAGTTTTTAGGAACCAGTGTTTGCTGAATACTAATTACGGATACTATACTGTCCGGAAAGTTAAAATTTAAATGTAATGAACCTTTCGAAATAAGCATGGAAAACTACATTGTAGCAATAAACCAAACAGAGACATGCGAGAACATACTGCAGTTTAATGTTATGATCTGTTTCTAAAGCCTATTTATGTTGAATATGTACTTTCGGTATGAAACGAAGGTTTTTAAAATATTTTGTCACAGGCTCTAGTGATATCTGGAGATTTTGGTCCGATTGTTCCTCTCATTATAATTGGAACTACAATGATTGTGGCGGGACTGGCAGCCTTGGTATTGCCTGAAACTTTAAACAACCCACTCCCTGATACTATAGAGGAAGCATGTCGGATGAAAAGGTAAAGACGCCATTAAATACCTCGATATATCATACACATAACATACACACAATACTCCGTCAATGGAGCAGAGTGTTGTACACATTCCTCAAATGTGTGCCATGTAGATTCCATTCTTAGCGAATCCATCTGAAATATGTCTCGAACACTGCCTTCCTGCAATCCTCGGCATCAAACCTTAGACTCTTACTCCAACCTATAACAGCGCGTTTACCAACACAAACGTCACACAGCGTGCAGGGTCCTGTCAGCGAAGGTTGTTTTAAGAATGATGACTTCTTTTATTCTGTGAAAGGCGACGTTTCGACATAGATTCTGATGTCGTTGTCAAGCACCACTTGTCAAACATCAATTGTCATCATTCTTCATCAACTCAACTTTAAAATGCCTATCAAAAAAGAAGGTAATTTTAGTCACAAAACTACTTTCGTTGACTGGACTCTGCACCTGCCTTTAGCCCTGAAGAACTTTATGGCCATGAACATATTGCACAATCCAATTTGATATGTTATTGTTACAAACTGTCATTAAACTTAGCAAGAAAACAAAATAGCAATTACTTCTCAGACAGTGATGTGGTATATAGTCCCAATATACTAACTCACGGAACACGATCGAGTGTCAACTTTTATTTAAGAAATACAGTTCGCTCTACCACCATGTATAGTGTAATAAAACACACTTTCGCCCTGAACTATTATAGTAAAAGTACGAGGACGCTTGCGTCCGAGTGCTTTAACGTTATCATAGCTCAGGGCGAAAGTGTGCTTTACTACACTATACATCGTGGTAGAGCGAACTGTAGTTCTCTTCTAAGATGCCAAATTTAATACTTTCTAAGGATAATTACGATTAATTTAAGGCAGAAAACAAACGACGGTGTCGGTGACCTAAATTAAGAATCCTCGCACAGGGCTAACTGGCGCGCTGTTCTATTGATGTGTCTGCCCCCCTAAGTTAATACGAACGTTACCAGAAAAAAAACAAATGATAACAGTTTGATGACGGTTTACGTTCGGATTAAATATCTTCTCTGAATTATTTTAATTACATCTGTCATTAACTTAAACCATATGGGACAATATGAACATCGCATTTCTACTACCAACGTAAATTTAGATCAGTACATCCAGATGAAGCTGAGTAGTCAAGCGACATTCCACGATTGCATTGTGGGAATGTAAACATTGCGAACGTTACCGTGTCGCTGAAAACTTGTGAGTCGAATTGACACATTTTAACCGTCGTAAAACATAAACGTAATGTTTCCACCAGTGATGTTAGCTGCGTGAAGCAACTGCAAACCAAGAAACGGGATGCAACGGAGCAGTTTACTGTAGGAGGTAGTACGAGGCGATGACAACTGACATGCATCGTGACGTCGCTTACATCGTGACGTAATGTAAAATGGTTCGATTACGACGGGGCACACTAGAATGGCGCAGTGACGGGATAACGTCATTCAATTGTTACGTCATCAAAAAACTATACCTTTATTGTCTGATAATGTATATTTTTTTCGATCGTTCTAACCGCTAGGCATCTTAGAAAGATCCATATAGTGTCAGTCCCAATAGAGTAGATACGCTCCACTTGATTTATAATGATGATAATCTAAATCTACAGAATGTTCACCAATTGATGTATTTCGAGTTATTTGCAACAGATGTCTGGTGTATATATTCCATATAAATTTTGCAAATAGGTATATACAGCGTCATATCGCCCTCCTAAATCATTTGCTTTTCTTTCAGAGGGAGGAACATTCGTTATCACACAGGGGCTGACTATACCAGCTCCCAGGGTGACGAGATTATGAAGACACTTGAGCTATGAAGAAGTACATATTCTCTGTCTCAAGTGATGGAATGGTGGTACTCGTAAGAAACCTTTGGCTGGCTTCTTACAGCATTCATTCGCAAGAGACACGTAAAATATATTTCCGACGTTTTTGTAGTTTTAAATTTTTTTTTATTAGCCATACAACTTGAATAGAAGTAAATAGATCTTATAAAATGACACCACAACAGATAAACATCACTATTGACATAAATGCTATTATCTGTTTAACAGTAATTAACATTGCCCTTTCAGTGTATCGATCGACAGCTCAGCTTTACATTACGATAATCATAACATATACACTGTTATGTTCCTACCAAGATAAAAACGTGGTTTGAAATTAATATCGCCTATTAGTAAAAGAGTCTCCCATGTCTTTTCAGACTAGCTCGCCCTATTTTGTAAACACCTGTCTTTGAGCGAGGTAAAACGGTTTTGGTTTGGTTTGGTTTGTTTGTTTGTTGTTTAGCGCCGCACTGACAATCCAGTGATCAACGGCATGATCATGATGTATTGGGATACAATGACATGTGTCAACTTAGTCAGCGAGCCTGACTACCCGATCCCGTTAGTCGCCTCTTACGACAAGCATGGGTCACTGAAGACCAATATTAATATTCTGACCCGGATCTTCACAGGTCTTGTGTTGTTGAAAGTGATACGTAACAAACAATTTACGTGACCATATACAAGATTCCATAAATATTATTAATATGATTAAAACGTGACGTTTTCCGCAGTTGTTAACTGTATGCCTGATGATGATGCCAATATATGTTAAACATGTTGAAATATGACAACTTTGGGGACCAGAAGATCCTTTTAAAAGAATGAAGATATCTGGCACTGGCCTTGAACTCTTCAAATGTAGAAATATATTTTCTTTTTCGCTAATAATACAAGAGACCTTGACACAATGAACAGTTGTAAAATGTCATCTCAAATTATTCGGGAACAGGGACGATTCCGTTACCGAACTACTACTGATAATAACAAAATATCTGTCCTTAATCCTTATGACGTTTACTCTTCCCTCCAGCTTTTGAAACTACCTGTGCCAAGAGCACGCGACAATAAATAATACCATTCCTTCCAAAGTTTATCCAGCAAGTGCGTTCCTTCAGGTTCGCAGTCAGTTTGTCTTCGTGCAGTACACATCGGAAATCCGTTTAACCAAGCATCGGTACAAATTATCATTTTCTTAAAAGTTCTACACTCTTTGGCGCACAGATTAATCCCACGAACTGTCATCCTTATTCATCATCAATTTCGCGTTTTGTGCCGCTTACCCCTGAAAGATGTTAAAGATCCGTCTGCTTCCCAGCAATTGCAAGACGTGATCTCGAGGCAAAGCGAAAAGCAATGTACGCTTTCGTATGAGGCTACCTAGTTTAAAGTATTCATTAGCAAGCTGAATATTTTAACACGTCTTGAATGTCAATTAAACATATTTATGTCACCAGTCCAAGGTTATTTTTCTGTAAAATAATTGTACATACCGGTAAACACAAACATTGCATATAAATGTGTTTTTTTTGAAAACAGGGGGTGTCTGCACTATGTATATGTTTTTTTTCTCGGCACTTTGTCAGCCAACCGCGGTTTTGAACCGTACTTCAGCTATAATTTAATTTTGCTTTCACTGTCGGCTTCCTTGATCCAGTGTTGTTTTATTCCACTGCGAAAAATAAATAAACAAAAGTAATGAGTTTAAATAGATTTTGTTTAAATAGTTATACCAACAGAAGCCAAAGGTTCAAAGGCATTTTCTTGCAGACACTACACATAAGGCTGGATTTACACTACGCCCGCATTTTTTGACGCATGCGTTACCGAGTGCGTTTTTTCCAATACACTAGGTGCGATCATCTTCGATATAAGACGGATGAATATAAGATGGAGGAAAAATCATAGCATCTCTGGCAGTTTCTGTGCATGAGGAAGAGAACGAAACACGGAGATGGTGGGTACATCCCTTAAACCAACAAAGATTACTTGAAGGAGCCTATAATCGTCTTATAAGGGAATTATTAGGGAATTAAATAACATCAATCTTTTATGTGTTTTCGAAATATTGAACTAAAAGTATGTAGAAAATATTTACTTTCATACCAACATTGTTCTCTCATACACTCAGGCATTACAAATTCCACATATATAGAATTTGAGCAGTACTGACTTCCCGGGGAACATAGTTCTGAGGGTTCTGTTGACGTGAACCAAATTGAGCCTCGTGAAATATCTGGGCAATTTTATTTTTCATAAGACTTTTAGAAGCATCTTGAAGTAGCTTGTTCTGAGAATGAAAGTTATCAAAGGTTTGTCATATTATTGTATGTGTTTGGCGCAGAAACACATTATAAATAATATCTCATAAAAACACAGCCTGTCTGCAATTGGAATCGCATGTGTTTTATCGAAAGATGAGGAAATAACCTTACCTGATCGCGTGTTTTTATCGAAAGATGAGGAAATAACCTTACCTGATTGTCAACGTGTTGGGGAAATACCTTATTGGAATGGGGCGAAGGGGTAACCTAATGGTTAAAGCGTTGGCTCGTCACGCCGAAGACCCGGGTTCGTATCCCCACATGGGCACAATGTGTGAAGCCCATTTCTGGTGTCCCCCGCCGTGATGTTGCTGGAATATTGCTAAAAGCGGCGTAAAACCAAACTCAGTCAGTCAGTCAGCCTTATTGGAATGACCTCATCAGGGGAATTCCTCATGCAAGTTCATTTGCGTTGCGTCAAAAATAGGAGGCCTACCTATCTAAATCGCTGCGGATCGCAACGCATGCAAAATTCGCACCTAGTGTATTGTCTAAATGGAAAATGTACTGCTTGCGTTTTTTCGGACGCAACGCAGAGAAAATCGGACGTAGTGTAAATCCAGCCTAAGATGGCTTCCACCCTGAATCTGTTTATTTGCTTTGGATACTAATACTTCTGAAAATGATGCTACTTTTGCTGGGTTGCTGACGTCCAACTCGTGAGGCAACTTCCTCATAGGAGACGAAGAGTATGAAGAGCAAAATAGTCCTAAATATTAGGGCATTTCATCTTCTGGGTGTGGTCTGACATTGTGGCATGCAAGGACCTTAAATACTGTCAGATATAACAGGCAATATCAATTCGAACAGATGTTGAGGTCCCCTCACCCACACGAAAATAATGTTTCTAATGGGGTTGCAATATGTATTGCAATATATTGTGAAAGTGTGACACGTGGTTTAACCGTTTCAACACCAGTTAACCAGAGGCTTTAACTGCCATGACACCGAGATCCCACAGACCCTGAGGTCATAGATGAGGCCTATGTTTATCAAGGAAAATATCAGCTTGCAAAACATTATTACTGCTACATGTCATGCACCATTTGAAAGGTCTATTCATAACATATTTAAAAATATGACAATAAGTTAAGTTTTTAGAACAATTACCGTGAGCGATTATTTGGGGCGGTGACTGGAATGTAGTTCAAGATTATAATTTGAACACTTATAATTTAAAACATAGAAATAATCCTGAAGCATATATGAACATTATCGACATGAAAACAAAACTAGGCTTAGTTGATCCGTGGAGAATTTTCAATCCTGACAAACAGCAGTACACATGGCGTAAAACAAAGTAGACTTGATTATTTCCTCGTATCTGAAGAGCTTATGTCCCTAGTAAAACGTACTTCTATGGATGTAAGTTACAGATCAGGAGCCGTATTAATAAACATTCCAAGAATTTTCTTAGAAACAATCTAAGAATCCTAAAAATCACACTTAGGTAAAAGTTATTCTTAGGAGTGTATCAATAAAAAATCTTAGAGTAACGTTTAGCTAAGTCTGACAGACAACTCTTAGAAAATTCTTAAGTGTTGTAACCAAGGATTGAATAACTATTTATAGTAACAATAGAACTCTTCTTTTTCTGAGATCGTATGTTTCATCACGTGATAGTCATGTGATCTCACAAGCACCTGTCGGGTGAAATAGGTAACTTTACATTTTTTTTCCTCAGTGTACACTCACATTATATGTCCGAATCTTTCATATATCATAAATATAAAAATGGATATGGAAATATTGAAACATTTTCTATACATGTAGAATTGTCTCACAGCAGTCTTGTAATCCATGCAAGTTTGGGGGATTTTATAATATTTTCTACTTTTGGAATACTAAAGCCTCCATGTTCGTATTTCATCTTCTTAGATTTACACTATCTTCATGAAATTTTGAATACATATGGAGCAACTAATGAACTGCTACTTTTTGATTTTCATAAATTGTTAAAAGTAAATTATATTGTTGATGCTTTTGAAAATTTCTTTTGTCATTAACTTGTATTTATTTATCTGTTGAATTGAACACAATAAAATTGGTTGTTCAAATAAATTACTTTCTTTCTCATACATCTAATATTATACCTTTCAATTTAGAAGTGAGTGTTGACAAACTGCTGTCTGTATCGGAGACCATTCCCAGCTGGTTGGACGATTGGCAAGTTGAAGCCATTGTTGCCTGGTAGTGGAGGATTCCCTGGAGGCAGGCCAATGTTTCTGTCTTTGCAGATGTTGTGCAGCATGGCACAAACTGTTATAACCTGTTAATATGTTATATTACATTTGATATAGGGTCTTACATTCTGAGGTACATTGTACGGAATAAAAAAATGCCTCTTATTTTGAATTAACATTAGAATTAATTCTGTAGTTTTGGAAAGAACTCAATCTCATTACATTCATTTCACAGTCACCTTTGTGTAACAATACATGAAAGCTTTTCCATTATAAATGATGATTCAAATAATTTCATATGATTAACAATATCACAATTTCATCAATAACAATGGAGGTAAGACATTGAATTTACAAACCTTTGCCGCCTTTTGGGGTTTAGGACGAATTTCACCATGAAGAACGTGAAATCTTCTTTTCATCTGTCCTATGCCTCGTTCCACTACACATCTAGTTGCCTTGTGTGCACTGAAATATTTCATATTACTTTTAGAAATGTAGAAAAATCTGTGATATCATTTGATTTTTAATATAGTAAAAAATTTAATTTGCAGGGAGGCTATATTTGATGTCAAACAATTTTTTTGTGTATATTTTTTATAATATTATCTTTATTCAAATAGGTCAAATATTAAAGGTATAAACAAAATAAGAAACATACCTACATTAATTTATCAAAATAAAATTAATGAATGATAATCATTCACACAGTAAATATTTTCAAGGGTTTTGATTTATTTTACACATAAATAAACATCACAGTAATGTAGAGGTCTAGGAGTCTCAGACTTAAAATTGTTTAACAATATTATTATAATATTATATACTATATACATGATAATTAATTATATATATACTTGCATTATTTTTATAAGGATTTGTTACGTTCCAGTATAATACAATGTTTTTAGGTATCCCGTTTGCCAAGGGAAGTCACACTCATTCTTCATGTTACAAGTTTTCATAATATTTACCTGTTGTATCTTGTCTGTTGTCCAGCTTGTGGGTGAATAAATGGTGTCAAAGCCATCTGCGACACGGGTAACCACTGTCTCCAAGCAAATGGCAACCATAATTTATGATTCCATGTTCAAACGATAATCTCACACCACTTTCGTTCAGGATACGTGCGTCATGTGTAGCCCCGGCCATTTCGCAACTATTTCGGAGATTCTGTCGTCGGAATCAAAAACCACCTGAACATTCAACGAATGGAAGTTCTTCCTGTTAACAGATTCATTCTCACGCTCGGTTGGTGCAATTATCTTCACATGGATGCCGTCTATAACCCCTACGACACCCGGGAATCCACCAATGGCATGAAACTGGCGTTGATGGCGTTGTATTCCTTGACGATTTATAGGTATTCTTATGAAACGGCCAATAAGTTGTGGTTTACAAAAGGCATTTAAAGTCTCTGTGATGACATTGCTAACTGAGGGTTGACTTATTCCAAAGTCATCTCCGTTGCAAAGTTGCATTTTCCTGTGGCAAGGTACCGAAGGGTAATTGCAACTTTGCTGTCAGCGTCTATCGCCATATTCCGCTTGGTTGCTGGCGTTAGCTTATTTCTCACCAAATCGGTCACAAACCTCATGCCACCACTGTCCAGGCGGTACCGAGATATCAATTCAGTATCATTATACTCATTAAATACATCTTTTCGTGGTCGAAAAACTCTCAGGTGGTGACGCTGAGCAGCCATCTCTTCTCAGGTAAGAAATTGCTAGGAGTACATGCTGGAGGACTCCTAACTTTTTGTAAAGTTAAGAGTAATTCTAAGAGTAAAATCACTTTATTAATATGACTTAAGAAAAATCTTACATTTAAGATTAAAATTGATTTATTCTTAGAATTTGTCAACCAAGTCAGCAGTACAGTACCGATCCGTTAGTCGCTTTCTTACGACAAGCACCGAGTCACGCCTTCCGTGGCAAGCATGGGTTAACTGAAGACCTATTCTACCCCGGATCTTCACGGGTCCGAAACTTAGGGACAGCAAAGGGTAAAGGAATCAGATTTAGAAGCACGGCCAAAATGGTGTGAAGAGGGAGAAAATAATACTGAGTATTATTTTTATGAGATTTAGAAAAAGAAACTATATTAAAAAGAACATGGTCAAAATAAAGCGTAACACAAAAATAATGAGATTCTGACGGAAAGAAGGAAGACGGTGAGAAAATGTTCAGAGTATTATC